GGTTCATGGGTGTCTATATGAATATGTATAGACATAATATATATAATATTATATATATTTATATACACACACACACATAACTCTCACACACACCTGAGGGGTGTCAGGCGCTGTAGAAGGCCCCCTTGTCCCACCTGCCCCTCTCAGCCCCTCACAGTCCACAGCGAGGCCTCCTGTTTTTGTGGAGGGGTTTTGTTTGTTTTTCTTTCTTTCTTTTTCTTTTTCTTTTTTTTTTTTCCCTGAATAAAGTCTCTGCTCACTTACCAGAGAAATGCAGAGTTTCGCTCTGGTTTATGGAGTGGGAAACTGCAGGAGTGTTATAGTGGTAGATAGCTGCCATACCACATTGGATATAGCCTCTATAGGTCCAAGGGGAAAAATGTTAATGGTTAAAATTACCAAGTCGTAATTACCTTTCAATTAACATGTTTGGGTTCGAGTAAAGTCTGTCTGTAACTGCTTGCATCACCATGCAGGTTAGTTTATCATATATTCCTTAGTGTGGGTATTTTTTTCTATGTTCTCTGGATCAGGAAGAAAATAAGAAAGATTTAGATGTTTGCTGTCGGATCTGTGAAACCTTCATCCTTATCTGCAGCTCCCTCTGCCTCCATCCCCACCAAAGCACCCAATCTCACCCTAGTTTTATCCTCCAAAAACCCCAGCCCTGGTCATTCTCCTTGAATCGCTACTCTGCTCTTGGCACTGATTTTTATGCAGGAAGCACTCAAGTACGATGTCAGCAGAACACCCATGGAAAACACCCAGGGATCCGCTCCCTTTCCCTTGCCTTTACACGCCTGCCTCCCTGTCAGAAACTGAGCTCTGAGACCGTTAAAAGGAGCAGGGAGTTGTAAAGAGGAGCTCACCGCAGTTCTGTTTGTGCCCTCGCATTTAGCCTATTTTATGAGACAAACCACACTAAAAAGGGACAAGGTAGCGCCAACACTGGGCTCTCAATGCCTGGTGGCCTCTCATTTGCCTTAGGAAATTTACAGCTTCCTACCGCCTATGGCAGGGGATTGCTCAGGGCACGAGCACCGCGCGCTCTTCTCCTCCGCGCCATGTCATGTCCCTGCGCTTTAGCCAGAACTACCGTAAATGAGACCTCACACTCAACTCCAAACAACCTCCTGAGCAATTGTTTGGAGCTTTGTATGAATTTATTTGCAGGATAATAAACACAGCACCCCCCCAGTCAAAAATGAGTAAGACTCTCTTTCCTGATCTACCTCCCCCAGTTCTGCACAGATTTGTACTTGTTAATCTCTGTGGTTTTGCACGTGATGAGTCTGAGGTAAAACCTGGCAGATTTTTCAGATTCCGTGCTCAGGCTTGCTGTATTTAATTGCTTATCCTTATCATTCCCGTCCAGCTGCTCAAGCTCTGCCTCCTGATGCACCATCACCACGCTACAAATTCGTGTTATTCCACCAATACACCAGCTGGGTGCACAGACTCCAACAGCCTGGATTCACTCAGTGCGAGCAGCTCCAGAATAACTGGAAATGGAGTCAGCTCCCTCTCAAACCATGCGTGAATCTGTTCTGCTTAGTCTTGGTGCTTCTTTTGGAGGGATGCGCAGGAGAACTGCAAGGATTTCTGCCTGGCCAAAAGAGAACGGTCTTCCTGCTAAAGGAGTTAAACCTCTTCCCAGCTTTTCCAGCTGAATGTCTTTCCCTTCTCCACCGCTTTGTGTCTCTGTCTCACACATCTCTGGTGCGGAACCAGGAACTATATTACACATCCTTTCACTCTGGGACATTTTGAAGCTTAGCAGTGGCCCCCATAGATCAGACAAATGAAATAGAGACGCTGCTCCTGTACATGAGCTCCCCATGTATTCGAGGTATTCAGTTTTCAGCTTGTTCTCATACAGCTTTAAGATGTAAATTGTGTTATTTTTCTTCAGTTTAATATTGGAAGTATTAGCCCTTATCGCAGTGGTAAGGGGGTGTGTTTATATTTATTCTGTGTATGTTCTTTCTTGTCAAGAGCCCTGAAGGAAAATGTTGGCAAAAATTCACATCCGAATCTTACAACCCGTCTTTGTTCTTTCCCACCAAGAGTCAGCCTCCCTGCTTCCTGTAAAACCCTTCTATATCTCTTTTTTTCCCCACAGCGCCCTTTCCATTTTCCCCCTAGCAGTGCTCATTTTTATCCTGTCTCTTCCCCTGCAACCTGAATCCCGACCTTTGTCTTTGACATCTAAATTCTGGTGGAAGGAGGAAGCCCAAGCAAGAGATCTATCACATTAAAACTGCATGAGATGCCACCGGGTTGCTTGGGGACAAGGGCAGGCTGAAGCTGGATGGGACAAATGCCATTCTTGAAAAACTCTGAAGTGCTTGAAGTGAAGTAACTCATGGAAAAGTTTGAATCTCCTGTGAAGCAACATTCAGAGCTGTTCCCTCAGCAAAAATCTGCTGAACATCTGGGCAATCTCACTGTGTGACAAAATGAAAATGTGTGATATTGATTGCTTGCCTCGGGGCTGCATTTTGGATGTCGTCCTGCTGTGGGAACCCTTTGCTATCAGAAATATCCCATGCAAATGCTCAGTCTGCAGTTCGTTTTTGCTTGGTTTAAGCACCACTATACACTTTATATGCAAAAGTCTTCCGAGATTCTCTTTGTCTGTGTCTGTAAGCACAAATGTGTTATTTTTAATTATTTTTACTGTTTTGTAAAGCATGTAACTCAACTAAGTTTTTAAAAATGCTCTAAAACAAAATGTTGAACTGTTTTCCCTAGTTTGAACATGCAGGCTTGCAATAGTTACAATAACAACTACTTAACTTTTCGCTCTTTGTTTTTTTATACTCATCTCGTTACCATTCTAATCCAGTTTTATTGTGTTGTGCTCCATCTGCGAGCAGAAAATCCACCTAAGAGGATAACGGCGTGGTAGTGGTGCTCACTAATGGAATTATTCCATTAGCTGAAA